GTTCTTCAGAATGGAATGTGGAATGTTTTGTGTGCAAGGGAGAACATGCACTGACATCATGTGAGCCTTGGAAGAAACTAGCTGTAAATGAACGATGGGAATTAGCAAAAAAGTTGGGTTTGTGCTTTCGTTGCCTCAAAAGAGGACATCGAATCGAACTTTGCTCGCTTAAAGGAACATGTCCAGTCGAAGGGTGTGTGCGAAGACACCACCCACAACTTCATGCAGTCATAGGGCTGGTACAATTAAATCCAACGGCTGAGACATTCCATCCCTCGCAAGCAGCTGCAGGAGACACGTCAGCAGTCGGTACGCAAACTAATCATACGACCTGTGCAGTGACTGAATAAAGTGTACCACGCAAACGAGGGTAATATTGCTAACCATGTCTACACATTCCATACAAACTTTACTCCGGAAACGAGGGCCGACGAGTTGATGCGGAAGATGTGGGATGAAGAAGTGGTGGAGATCACTAATCAAAACAAGCCTTTGAATGCAGAATAGGTGCTTGCTACGCGCAAGGTGGCAGAGTCAAGGTGTGATGCCAAGGGGCGCTATGAAGTGGCAATTCCATGGCAGGACGATGAACCGCCGTTGTATTGCAACAGGACTACTGCTGAGGACCGCTCTACTCTCTTAAGAAGCACTTACAACTAAGGCCGTACGTTGCTGAGAAATATTGTCAGGTGATGGAAGCAAATGAGGCCAAGGGTTACATCCTGAAACTGGAGCCAGGAGAAATTGATGATGGCCCAAGTTGGTTCCTACCTCATTTTCCTGTAGTAAGAGAAGACAAAGAGACTACCAAAGCGAGGATAGTGTACGATTCAGCAGCCAGATACGGCGGAGTAAGCCTTAATGATAATATGTTGCCCGGACCGAAACTGCAGCAAGATGTCTTTGATGTGCTATCCTGGTTGCAGATCTGACGGAAATGTTCTCACAAGTCACCATGGCGAAGAAAGAATGTTAACATTGAAGAGTCTGAACTACCTTGCACGAAGGCGTTAGGAGTACAATGGAATGCTGAGACGGATATGTTTACCTTCAAATTGAACCCCCCGCAGGATGTTGTCTATACCAAGCGAGGGTTTTAAAGAAACTAGCCATGCTGTTTGACCCATTACAGATGCTCCACTCACAGTTAGGGCCAGGATGGCTATGCAGGAGTCGTGGTTACTGGGTTCAGGTTGGGATGACGAGTTCCCCAGTGACTTGAAGAAGACTTGTCAAGAATGGTTCAGTCAGTTACCTGAACTTTCTGGAGTCCAAGTTCCAAGGTGCTATCGTGTTGCTGAGAAAATTGTTGCAGACACCTCTATCCATACTATGGTGGATGCATCGTTGTTGGCCTATGCAGTTGTAAGTTACGTGCGGCATAAATATGAAAATGGAAAAGTGACTGTGCGATTTATTGCAGCAAAAGAGAAGGTCACACCTACGAAAGTGACATCAGTTCCGAGGTTAGAACTAATGGCGGCAGTGTTAGGTCTTAGACTGGCGAGAAAGGTGTCAGAGCTGTTACAGATACCTTTTGAGAACTGTATACTATGGACAGATAGTAAGGACGTCATTTTCTGGATCCAGGGTCAGTCGAGAAGGTATAAGACTTTTGTTGCCAACCGAATATCAGAGATCCATCGGAAGTCAAGTCCCAGACAGTGGCGACATGTCCCCACCGATTTGAACTGTGCGGATGATGCAACTCGCGGGCTACACGCGAAGGTGCTGACAAGTGAGCATCGCTGGTTTAGTGGACCTGAATTCCTGAGTGAGCATGAAGATGCCCAGCCTCAAGGAAAATGTACAGTGTTTGAAGAGCGTTCAGAAGAATGTCTAGCTGAGATAGTCAAACCCATGATGACCTTTGCATTAGAGATTTCGCAACCGTTGATGAATCCACTAAAGTGTTCCAGTTGAAACCGATTTAGAAGAGTAACAGCATGGGTGAGACGTTTGCTGATCTGTTGTTGGCCAAAGTGAAGAAACAAGGCAAACCTTTAGGTGTTGTTGCCAGGAGCGGACTTACATTGACGCCAATTGAAATAGACAAAGGTGGAAAACTGTGGGTGAAACAAGCACAGCAGGAGAGATTTCCTAAAAAGATAAAAGATTCGATTGGAGGAAAAGAAGTCAGAAGACAGAGCCACTTGAAACTTCTACCCTATTGTGGATGAGCTAGGTATATTGCGAGTCGGAGGGCATTGGACCGAGCAGGACTATCTTATGATGCAGCACACCCTATGATCTTACCAAAGAAACATCACATCACCCAATTAATTGTTGCAGACGTCCATAGCCGTTGCCGACATGCGGGCGTCAACCACGTGCTAGCTCAGGTACGAATCCGATACTGGGTTATAGATCGTCGGCAGGAGGTGAAGAATTGGGACAAAGAATGCAAGGTGTGTGAGAGAAGACGTGTACAGTTATAAGTGCAGATCATGGCACCGCTTCCAAAGACGATAGTTGGAACAAAGATGAGAGCGTTTGCAAAGTACTGTGTTGATTACGCTGGCCCCTTCACGACCAAGATTACTCGAAGAGTTTCTGCTGAAAGGTATTTGTGCCTGTTTACGTGCTCAGCAACCAGAGCGGTGCATCTAGAAATGGCATGTTCATTGAGCACCACAGATTTCCTGAATGCGTTCAGCCGAATGGTAGCCACCAGGGGAATACCGGAAGAAGTTACAAGTGATAATGGGACAAGCTTTGTAGGAGCAGAGAGAGAGCTTAGAGAACTTGTTCAAGCAATGGACCAGGAACAGATCGCAGGTAATGTTGCAAATAACGGGATCAGATGGAATTGGAATCCTCCACTGGGGTTGCACTTTGGTACGGTGTTTGAGTCGCCGGTTAAAGAAGCTAAGAAAACTCTGAAAGCAACAGTTGGAAATGCTGGACTAACCGACGACGAGCAGCAGACTGCTATGAAGGAAGTAGAAGCATTGATGAACTCGAGACCATTGACGTATGAAGGAGCTTACCCGCGAGACGAGCCAGTGTTGACACCTAAGCACTTCTTAGTTGGGCAGCTAGGGGGACAACTAGCACCTCAAGTTACAGATGACATAGCATTAAATCCCACGAACCGTTCTGGAAGCACTGGAGAGAAAAGTATCTGTCAACATTTAACACGCGAAAGAAGTGGAGAGAGGCTAAAGAAAACCTGTAGGTTGGGGATGTAGTGCTCGTTGTTGATCACAATGCTCCACACAGTCAGTGGCATCTGGGTCGAGTGCAAGAAGTCTTCCCTGGTCAGGATGGACAGGTGCATGTCGTTCAGGTGAGCACAAGAGGCCAGAAGTCTTTACGCCCGATAACTTGAATGTGCCGTTGAACGTTGCAGGCCAGCCAGAGACATGCTCTAGAGAGAAGAGCTGAGGATCCGGAGACGCTCTTCGGGGGGGGGAGGATGGACACGCGATCGTTTGTTTGTTTGTGTGAGCGTCAGGCGCTACCCCCGTGTGGAGACTGGAACGAATAAAAAACGTTTTGGTGTGAGCACATGGAAATTGTCTGGTGTGTTTTAAACCGGGACCCAGATAGAATTTCCCACGCCTAGGAATCTTCAAATGATCAGATTCAAGGTTTAGGTGTTTTTTTAAGCCACAGTAACCAAGTTAAAACAAATAGTAGGAGCACATACTTGATAGATTTAATTTTCGCACGAAAAAGGCAAACGTCCTTGCTGACGTCAAAGACCTTTTATTGGTGAGACAAATCAGGTGATAAATCAGGCGAGTCAACGACGTCACGCTTCAGGCGTAACGTTGATATTGTATCGATATCTTTTTGCGACTGCTGTGGAAGTATTTGTCACAAGACCTTTTGTAATGTTTGAAGCCCGTGATGCGGTTGTATATCTAAAACTATCTAATGTTTTCAGTTGAACTACTCAAAGATTTGGTCGTAGAATTTCTATCAAGAGGAAGAAAGGCGATTTAATGTTATTAATATTTCTATTTTTGCTTACATTTTCCAGATGTAAAATAAACCATTCACTCGAAATATAATCAGAAAATCCATACATTTTCCTTCGAGGCATCGTTTAGTTCAAAAAGATACCGACATGGACTGTGGAAAGACAAAATAATCATTTTCTTCAGTACAATGCTTTATTCAACTCTTACCACAGTACTGAAATTGGTTGTTCTATTTAAAGAGCACTTTCCCCTGGCTGAGCATCTCCTAGACTTTCCATACATTTTACCCGACTCTCAGGCCACAATTCGGGGTAAAACGTTTCCTATTTAGAGCAACATGGCTAAAAGTGACTCAGAGTCATTTCAAAATTTTCCTTTCTGCACTCTACTGCATGTAATTTCATTCATAATGAGCGATTACCGGTACATAAGGTAATTCAGTTGTCATGCGTTACTCCTAAAATTTGTATAAACGTTTATATGTTTCTGCGCCCCGTTAATATGTGGGCGAATGTCATCAGGTACACATAAAAGGCTAAGTATAGTAATGCAGTGTGGAAGCGTTCAATTCTGTAAGGGTGAGAAACCTACATCTAAACGGGTGGCTTCAATTCGGATCTATCAAGCGTCAAGTGGAGACTAAAACATTCAACTGTGAAAATTCTCGTAGATTCCGCCGTCTTTCTTCCCTGACCTTCCCTCCTTGAATCCCACATTGTAATAATCGGAAGTCGCTTGAGTGTCCTGCAATGACTGGTACTCAGGAGGTTCACGTGAGTTCCCTTCCGAAGGCCTGAGGTGAGGTTCCATATAAACACCAGGCTCTGACTCTTGATGGCCACCAGATGGGACTGGGATACCACTGTTCACTGTGGTTGTTACTTTGTTATGCTTAGTTCGGCTCAACCGCCATATTAGCGCACCAATCACGATAAGCAAGACGAAAACAATGCAACAAAGAGCGATGACAGCAGCCCGAAGGACTTGGAATTCACCTGTTAGAAATTAGGAGGGATTAACACTAGATATGAAAATCTGTGTCTCCATTAAAATTGGAGAAAATAATGAAGGAATCAAGAAATTGCTT